GTAAGAAATGTACGTATTATCCTGCCCATGCAATTGTAACCCCTCTGTACAGTATGTTCACAAATAAAATAAAATAAAATTTAAAAAAAAAAATACTGTTGGTCAAAGAAAATACTAAAATATTAACATAGCCAATAGTAGTACCTACTTACTGACACTTACTGTGTGAAAATTTATCATTTCTTGAAGACTGTCAGAAAACTTGGTCAAACTTGTCTATAAGACAGAAACAAAAAGAAAATTAAGTCATTTAAAAGCCACAAAAACGTTATTTTAGCAATTCTGACAGGTCAAGTAACATTGTACATAACAGCATTTTCTTCCAGGAACAATCTCACTTATTCATAGGAATGCTCTGCAGAGAGGTCAAGTCTAGATGTGGTAACATACAACCTAGAAAAGTTAAAGCAATAGCTTTGTCCTACCCATGGCATGAATGTAAAATTGTCTTGAGGCTATTAATACTGTGCCCCTTTAAACATCTATCGATCAACTCACCATCAAAGCACACCTACGTCTTCATCATTTATTATCATCTTGGAATAAATAACATAAGACTACACAGGTGCAACAAAGGATTCAAGCTAACCAAGGCAGCAGGCTCACCAGAAGCAAACAGTACACATACACACATTAGGTCCTGTTCTCAACTGGCTCACATTCTGTGTTTGTCTCAATAAGCAGCTACTGGTAACCTGCGCCTCCCAGCTCAGACTCTTGGGCAGATGTTGGTTCAGCTCACTTAGCAGCTAGCAAATTTAGTAAAGTGGCCAAACACTGAGAAGCTGGGTTAGTATTGATGCTAGACATATACATTGCAAATTAACCTTTACAGCTAACCATCTTAGTAAACAGCCTTATAGGTTGTAACAACAAGGGGTGATACCTTTTCTACTTCTAGTTTTAAATATCACTATAATTATTAGTAACAATTAGTTTACCTGTTATTTTAATAATACTGACCTCAACTACAGCATCATTACTAGAATACTGTGCTAGGTCTCGAATCCCATTCATGAACTGTTTATTTGCAACACAAAAGGCTTTTCCAGTATCAATCATGGCAATACAAAGTTTCACAAGCTGAAAAAAAAGAGAAAAAGTATTACATCAGGTTCTAAATAATTTTATGTTACTTAGTTGAACAAGTTTTGGCATAAATTATGGGAGTTAACCTAGTTAAGATAAATTATACTTCACCAATAAGCCCAAAACAAATTATTTTTTCTTTGACTTATAAACTCACAGAGAAGTTGTTCCAAAAAGGTGACCTCTTAGGACCCAGAGACTATCTGATAATAACAAAAACATAATAATTTTATCAAATTAAATTCAACCCCATAAATTAAATCCCTAAAGATTCAAAGTATCTACTGGGAGAAAGGATGGGGATGTAGCTCAATGGTAAGAGCATTTGCCCAGGCCTGCGGCCCTAGTTTCTTTTTTTTTTTTTTAATTGTGAAAATACCATACAGAGAGTGTAAGTTACAATTACATGGGCTAGATAACAAGTACATTTCTTAGCAAGCATTGTTGCCTCCTCCTTTGTTTCCCCTTCCCATTCCTTCCCATTACTCCCCCATCCCCCTACCCGATCCTCCCTGCCCCCACCAAAGTTGTAAAGTTTGTTTTTCGACATAAAGACTTGTACATCTCATTGTTGCAATGGGTCCACCTGTATCCCTATTTAAACAATTTGTTTTTTCCCTTCCCTTCCACAAATTATACCAA